TATCATTAATAAAAGTGAAACCTTTGACGCTCAAGATTGTTCTTTATTGTTTATAATTCATTCTTGAGTGTTCTTCACTTTCTCCATTAAAATACTATAATTTGGTTATCCTTAACTAGATTATTAGTGTTATTGAGGGATCTGGGATCAACATGACATATCAATGAGAGGTGTACATTTGGATATAAGGGTGACATTTATATATGTGTGGTATGTAATATAACTCCTACTATCATATCCCTTAAGATTACCATGGTCTGAAAACTTTATTTCTTTGTGATTTAAAAGTTTAGGATCAGGGTTATTATTGGAAATTATAGTCTGGATGTTATTAAAGAGGAGTTAACAGGTTTGGCCTGAAACTATGAATAAACCTTATTTGATTTGAAAGGTTTAAAAGTGGTATTATGATAATTTGATTAGTATAAACCTGTTGGGATTGATATATTGTTTACAAGCAGAGATTATTGGCTTAAAAAGTGAAAGGTGTTGATATTAGGTTCTTTCTTGTTTATATATTGTGTTATATATGAAAAGTTGTTTTACCTAAATATTTTGGTGATTTTCACCCTGCAATAACATAAATAGGGTAACTCACTAGACCTTTTCGGTCTAACCCTCTTTTGTGATTTCAAATATGTATTGCAGGAAGTGCTGACTGTAAGAGGAAAGGAAAGGAAAATATAATATTTTCCCTATATGATTATCTGCGTGAAGGTTTACTGATGGCATATATAGTTTTTGATAGATGATCTGGTTTAGTACAGGAATTATATTTGGAAATTTTTGGATCATGTATTTTTTATTGGTAGATTCTTGTACTAAGGGACCAATGTGGTGTACAAACATGTATTTCTTGTATATGAAGTATATGTTACATGCAATGTGTGGAATGAGGTGTTACAAATTATTTTATAACAAAATATATCATTAGAAAGTTTTTATTAAAATAATTAAAATGACACTGAGTAAAAAAGTTTCTGTAGTTTTCAATCTTTATTTTATCCCTTTTATACATTCTTTTATATTATTAATATATAATAAATTATGTAAATTAATAAAAATAATATTTTTGAGGATATTAAAATAAAAGTTTAAAAACATAAAATACAATAAATAAAATTTAAATAATGAATGAAATGTAAAAATGAGACCTATTTGTAGGGATGGCAAAAAAACCCGAAACCGACGGTGAAAACCGAAAACCGAACAATTCGGGTCGATTTCGGGGAACTCTTAACGGGTACGAGGCGGGGATCGGGGGGAGTTTTGGGGACGGGGACGAGGACGGTACTCACCGACCCGGACCGGCCCGATAATACATATATATATATATATATATATATATTTAAATTTTATAAATTATAATTTAATAAATAATAGTCATTAGCCCAAACATATAAATTCTTAAGCCCACCTTCTTAATGGACCAACCCAAACAGTCATATGACCAGACCTTTTGACCATCGTTTACCCTCTTCTCTCTAATCTTCTTCGATTTCGAATCTTCTTCTCGACTTCTCCAGTCTCCCGTTGTCCCGCACAACCTACTGCCCTACTTAACTACTCTCGTCTCTCGCCGCTCGCACTCGCAGACCGCCAGACCGCAATCGCTCTTGCAGGTTTCGCCTACTACCGGCGGTATCGCCTCCTGCAGATCCTCACGAGTTGACCCCTCTGTCTCTCGCTCTCTCCTCTCCGCCTTCAGTTCCTCATGCCGGTATCGACCACTCTGTCTCTCGCTAATATATTTCATTTTTTATAATTAATTTCTCAATTTGCTACGCCTAGGATTATGGATTATGTCCATTACTGGACTGAATTATCTTGAAAAGTTGAATGCAAACAGGGCAATTTTTCAATTTTTTCTTAATTTGCTACCCCTTTATCTTGAATAGTTCAATTTTTCTAGTAAGGTTATCTTATTATATTCTATTCTAGGGATTTGTAGTCGTGAAATAAGAAAATGGAGAGTTATAGATAAGATTCATAGTGAATATTAGAAAATGGAGAGTTATAGACAAGATTCATGGTGAATATTAGAACTAGGGTTTATTTGAGTATGTTTTTGTTCATTAAAACAGCCAAACAGGTGTATTTGATTATGTTTTGTATTCCAATTTTTTGCTTGATAAATATGTGTTTTTTCAAATCCGGGTTCGGGTTCGGGTTATGGTTAGGGTTCGGGTTTGGGTAAAACCAATGGGTAACGGTTATTCTGCTCTTAACGGTTTACCAACGGGGATCGGGGACGGGGATCAGGACAGTTACGGGGATGGTTATGGTTATCGGTTTTGGGGACGGGGACTCTAAAAACCGGCCCGAACCCGGCCCGTTGCCATTCCTACCTATTTGATATTTTAGAAGAGAATTAGATTTTATTTTGAAGTTATATTGGTAAAATATAAGTCATTTTCACATTGTTTCATCTTGTTTCATGGGATAGGGGTGGAACAGAACTGTTCCATTTTATTTCACTTTCTTCCTGTCTGTTTCATATAAAAGTCACGTCAAACGTGAAATATGGATCTGTGTTATGTTCTACTATGTTCTATCTAATATACCAAACGTAATTTAAGGTTTTGAATAGATTCTGTTAGAAACTTGTATTATAACAACAAAATTTTCATAAAATTTTCCTGCTCGTCATGTTTTTTGTATTAACAGTACTTTTTGTGTATTTCAATTAATATAAAAATTTAACATTAGTTCTTGTAGTTATAATCCTCTTACCTGTTCCAATTCCTAGCCATGATCAATTGATCATGATCCTATACTACGCCATCTGAAGTCCACAAAATAATTTATTTTGGGTGCTATAATTTTATTTTAAGATAGGATTTTTTTAATTTTTCTCTTTTCTAAATACTAGTTGTATATCCATACAAACCGTATTATATTGATAGAGAACATAAATAAAATAAAACATTAAAATCGAAATATATCCCATTACATTATAAAATATCAATGATATTAACAAAAATTGAAAATAGTGAGTTGATTTTGGGTTTCGTACTTCATTTGAGAAACTTCATTCTTTCCCAGCGATAAGCTCTTGAACCACACGTCACCTCATATCTATCATTAAAAATGCTCCTCCTTAAAACCACCATCACCACTACCACCGCCTCCGTCTCTCCCTCTCCTCCCCATCTCCTACAACCTCTCTCTCTCTAAACCCATCTCCTTCCCTCTAACCACCACCACCAGACACCCTTAACCCTTCGTCACACCCCCAAAATCATGAGCTGGACTGGGGTTCGGTACACGCACCCCGGCCGACGCTTCCATGGACCAGTCCTCTATTGCCCAGGGCCCTGACGACGACCTTCCTGCTCCCGGCCAACAATTCGCACAGTTCGGCGCCGGCTGTTTCTGGGGCGTCGAGTTAGCGTTCCAGAGAGTTCCAGGTGTTAGCAAGACCGAAGTCGGTTATACCCAAGGATTTATGCATAACCCTACTTATAATGATATATGTTCTGGTACTACCAACCATTCTGAAGTTGTTAGGGTTCAGTATGACCCCAAATCCTGTAGCTTCGACAGTTTGCTCGATTGCTTCTGGGAGAGGCATGATCCTACCACACTTAATCGTCAGGTTTGTAATCTAATAATCTTGTCGCGAGTTCTTCTAATTCAGATTAAATATCTCGATTATCATAATCGTATCAATTAGATCAGTTGAGTTGATGTTAGATTGTTTATAGTTGATGCCTTGGGTCGTAGATCATAATCGATTAACTTCTAAACCGTAAACGCTCTTGATTTTGACTTCAAACTGTTGAATTTGAATGAAAATGGTTGTGGGAGTTCATATTTTCTCTTCCAATTTATTGTTAATTGGACAAGAATTTCAGAAAACTGATGTAATTAAAGTTGGTTACAGCAATTTGTGACAAACTTTTCTTTGAGATGTGCAATTGGAAATCGACAAATGAATTGCATATCTCCCAAAAAAAGTCTATCCTAACCACTTAAATTACATAATCATGTCAATTGCACCATATGTTCATCAGATCCTCGTCCAAATTAACATAAATTGGGGGAAATTAATTCTCACATCCATTTTCGAACTTTTATCCCCCACATTAACAAATTGAAGCCAAATTGGGGTTATAACTGCATCCTCTTAGTTTTCAGTTGAAATTCTAGATAAGCTTGTCCATATACATGTACGTAACACAACCCTCAATTTTCTAGAGTTTATTCCCATCTATATCCAGTACAAACTCTAGATAAACTTGTGCGTATACATGTATTGAGTGCAATGCTTAATTTTTCTAGAATTAGCGACTCCCCATATGATGACGTACCCGTATCCTATGTAGAAATGAACACCAAGGTAGACCTGTTCTCAAGTGCATTTCAACGTAAAACTTTAAATTGCGAGGGGAGTTTATCTCTAATTTTTGGAATTTCTACATTAGGGCACAAATGTGCTTCCATAGTTTGACTTACATTTATGGTCTTTCTAATTTCTTTTTCCGAGAAGAAAACCATTGTGTTTGGATATGATAGGTGAAACTATCTATCATCCATCTTAATTGCTTATTTGGATTTGATAAAGTTTACACCAAGTCAGGATCTATAGTGTTTTGAATCATTGTTACACTTGATATCAATTACAAATAACAACATATAGTTATTTAATGGTTGATTTGATTGAACAACTTCAAAGAGCAAGGCCTAAATCTGTTCTGATTAGGGGCCGTTAACCAAATGCTTACTGGATTAGAGTCGCCACCCTCACTTATTGGGTAACATTCTCGGCCATGAAAATAGATTGTTGGTAAGCATCTCTTACCCAGTAAGCCCTAACCGCGTAAGAGTCTTGGTCTTTGCTATGCTCACCTGTTAAGTAAGTGACACGCAGCAAGCACTTACCTGGTAAGGGTTTGCCTAGTTTTTGTACTTTACTTATTCTAATCAAAGACCCAACTATAGAAATTCCGCACAGAGTGCTTATCTTTGGGGGTTTTAAGATATGCACTTGAGAAACTTACACCATTGTTCACTAGGCTAAAAGCTTGATTGGTGATTTGGGTAGGGAAACGATGTTGGAACACAATATAGATCTGGGATATACTTCTACACAGCTGAGCAAGAGAAAGCAGCATTAGAGTCAAAGGAGCAACACCAGAAAAAAATGAACAGAACAATCGTGACAGAGATCCTGCCTGCAAAGAAGTTCTACAGGGCAGAGGAGTACCATCAACAGTATCTTGCAAAGGGAGGTCGTTTTGGGTTTAAACAATCCACCGACAAAGGTTGTAACGACCCTATTCGTTGCTATGGTTAAATATGCTTCAGTCTCTCATACTTATAATGTACAATGACTGTTAATTCACTATTACTTTAAATGATTTGGCAGTCCTACAACAGGTTATTTATATTATGGAGTGGTGACATAAAAWAAACCTGGAGGAGCTTTTCCCAGACTGGTTTTTGTCTGGTTGATTGTTGTTGTCATAAATGGCTCTTCTATTTGATTGTTTTAATGTAAATAATATGTTGATGGCCTTTTTTAAGGTTACCGTAAACTTTAATACAAGGACAACTTCCATTGGACTAGCGGTTACTGATAGAGCCGAGCCTCGCCTCGCCTCCCTCTCTCAAGGTGGGATTCGAGTATAACCAAAGGTGAGAATTCTGTTTGAATATAAAAGTTAAAAAAARGGTTCCAAATTGGAACCAAAATTGTTCTTTTGGAACTTGAAAAACCTCTTACCATTAATTTTGTTATGCAACCGTGTTTGGAAGGCATATATGAGGATGAGATCATACGAAGGTAGATATTATTTTTCCTAGAGTGAGGTTGATACGTATATAAGAGACTAATTTTGGGTCAATAATTTATTTAAATAATGTCTTAAATAAAACTTTTTAAAACATCCTTCAAAAGGACATGTATCGTTTGTTGTATATAAATTAGATATGGAAATTTATTCATTACTGTAAAGATCATCTAATACATTTAATTAAGTATTTGTTCAAGAAATTTTTATAGTTTTTTGTGATTTAAGCATGATTAATTTTTAATTTATTAATTTTTACAACATTTAAATAAGCRTGATTTAGTTTTTCATTTAAAATATTCATTTTTATTGAAATAGTTTATTTAAGGATCTTTTACAATTTTCGTCCAAAATCATATGTAATATCCATAATTACTCGACTTTTTTTTTCCCAAATAGAAATCCTTAATTTTCGTTAACGTATTATATGTAATATTGATTATAGTGAAACATCATACGTGATATTAATTGGATGGTACTTCCGTTGTAGTTGCAGTCTTGCAGATGCTAAAGAAAATAGTGTAAATTGACGACTGATATATAGTCAAATGGTTGAAACTGTACAGACAACGTATCTARAAGTCTATAAATATCACTCTTTTAARTACCATTACGATCTTTTTGGTATGTTATAACGATACACAAGACATCAAATATTAAACTATATTAAAACTACCTTTTCGCTATGTCCAAATGATAAAAAATGGTGTTTCAATTGCAACAGGCCAAAAATACACGTATATATTGCTAAATGGATACCTGCATGCTAATTTTCCTGTTTCCTTCACAAGTACATCAACACAATACTTACTTTTTCCGTTGAATATTTCCAATATATGATTTAACTTAATTATGCATATAACACATCMTTTTCAATAATATGGTATGCACAACACTAACTAATCCAATCCAGCCCACATTATTAACTAATTGTGGATAATTAACTCATCCTCGACTTGAGTTTGTCATAAATAGACATCCATGTAACATCCTTTCCAATAATATGGTAAAACTTATCCTTGACTTGATTTTGACATAAATAGATATCCATGTAGCAACGGCCTTTTCAAGAATATGGTCCGACTTATCATCAACACATCTTAATAGTAAAGATAGTACCACTGATAGTGACAATGAATTAACCCCCTCAAATAGTGGTGTTCTGTATTATTTGATAGGACTTACCAAAGAAGGAAATAGTTCATATGACAAGGCTTACCAAATGCACATAACATCAAAAACAACTCACCAAGTCGGAATTGCGCCAAAAAAGGATTTGCAAAAACAGGAAAAAGGAATCAAAGTTATCGCTAACAAGATAGAAAACGAGAAAAATATACAGGAATCACAGATATCGCTAACAAAATAGAAAACGAGAAAAATATACAGGAATCAAAGCTATTGCTAACAAGATATCCATGTAATGACTAGCTAAAACGATAAAAATATACAGGAATCAAAGCTATCGCTATCATAGAGTTGTCAAAGCAATAGCTAATATAAGAGTTGCCAGAGCTATCGCTRACATAGAGTTGTCAAAGCTATCGCTAACATAAGAGTTGTCAGAGCTATCGCTAATACGAGCATGTGTAAGGTGCAAGAAGGGTATATAAATGACATTACCTGCTACTATTTAGCATCTTATGAAGTTGAGGTTGCGCAGGTATTCTCTTTAATTGAAACATGAACACCATCTTGCCTTCTGCACCTTTTTGTTGTTTATAACCTTTCACAATGTACAACCCATCATACACAAAAACATCATTGTTCTTCCCACTACCCGTATGTAGCTTTCTAATTACTCGAACGGGATTCTTCTCATTAATGCTGTTTTTCAAAGCCAGATTACCCCTCTCGAGTTTTTGATCTTCTGGCCTACCCCCCAAGAACTTAACCCCACCATGACCAGAATACAACAACGCATCACAAGACTCCCTTTCATTCAAATAACGCTGAGAGTCAACAATGCTGATAGCTAGATTCTTCCCTCTAACCTTTGCATAATCTATACCGGATTGTAGTTGGCAATGGAGGCCAACCATATGAAGTTGTGCCCTAAATTTGAACTTGTCACCTACTCGTATACCACAAATGTGGCCTAAAACTTTGTCAACATCCATTAGCTTCTTCCTTTGTTTGACTATCTTGGCGGCCTCTATAGTTATCCTCCAATGAGCTATCTTTTCTYCCTTCGGCTTCGATCTATTCTCTAGGTATAATCGTTCATAAACGTCCTCAAACATAGCCATTGCCTCATTGATCTTCTCACGTCTAAATTGTTCCTTTCGCGATACAACCGTCGTGGTGTCTTCTGGYTTTTGGGCATCACCCTCCTCTGTCCTAGGATCCCAAAATTTAACTTTACCAGCTGGCCTCCTCGATTTTTCGAGTCTAAATTGTTCCTTTCGTGATCCACCGTTGGCGATATCTTCTGGCTTTTGGTCATTACCCTCCTTTGACAAATTGGGATCCCAAAATTGAACTTTACCAGTTGGCCTCGAGCCCAAAGGTGTGTTCCCCCCAGATTCCTTGGGTTTAGAGGTTTTAAGTTCATTATTCTCGAAACACCGAGAGTCCGCCAACTTATCCTTGTCATTGSAAGTCATCTTCCTAATTTTTGAGCCATATTTGTCAAAATGCTTCAAAAGAATCCTCTCTGCTYTGTTCCTAAGAGAGTTATCTATGATGCCACAACCAGGAGGGAAATCACGGACGACTTGTACTCCAGTTCTGATCTTTGGAGGAGGATATTTGGACACCACCTTTCTAGGTTTTATGATTTCCTCAAGCACACAATCATCATCATCGTCTAATAAWYGTTTTCTAGGTATAACAGGCTGAGATATCTTCTTCATGAACGCCTTTTGTTAATTACGAGGCTTCAATTTGAAGTTAAGTACGCAATTAGAACACTACAAGAAGATTCTAGGTTAAGTAAACAAGATTTTCAGATAATATTTGCGATTTGAATAAACAAGAAAATGTACGGTTTCGCAGTTACAATTTAAAGAACAAGAACAACTGATGGAACAAAATCAATCAATAAATCCGTTACACTAATCATCGTTCGAAGATGTAACCGCTGATTTTCATAGATCATCAAAATCCAACCAAAAATGCGCAGAACAAAGGATGATAATAACTATCTACTTAATGTGTTAAACACGCACCATAAATGCTCTTAAAAACCATGATTAACAACAAACAATGGATTCATTCATAAGACCTAACGGGACTTAAAATTTCTTTTGGCGTCCGCCCGTATAGCTTTTTCTACGGATAACAATGGAGTAAATCCTGACGATACACCATCATTGATATAATCATCATTTGAACTCATACGCAATCTAACGAACTCATACACGACCAAAGCGAAAAATGAAGATTAAACAAGAAGTCGATATAGATTCTTCAAGATATCCAAGTCCACAAATATACAAATGAGAGAAATATATCAAAAAAACAGCGGATTCAACCAATAATCTTACTTGAAAATGGAGCTGGCCAATGTTTTCTGGCAAGAACAGTAGGGATAAAGAAGGCGGTTACACTGCAAAGTGAGAAGAGAGA